GGGAAAAAATGTTGATCACATATACAGTCTGCTTTATACTTTTTATTTGATAAATATTTATAGCAAATATGACAAAGGTTGTTAAATCTCCTGTTTTCCTTTTATAGATATGAAAACAAACAATTTAATTGCATAAAATGACTTTTATAATTCTTTCTATTTTAGGTAGGTAGGGATCCCTCAGTTCACATATGGGACACAGAGACCATTAAACCATTGTCGATATTAAAGGGCTACCACCAGTATGGTGTCTGTGCTGTTGATTTCTCAGGTAAGGCAGTTTTCTGTCTCAGTAAGAATGATCAAAATGCAGAGGCAATACATGGCATTTTAGTCTAAATTAGTGTTGCCTAAACTTGTCATTTAATAGTGACCTTCACAATTTTTTATCAAATGTGCATACTGTTGTCCTAACCAATCAAGGCTCTGAAAGTGTGGGTTTGCTAGCTGTTTTATAATAATAATTTAATGAAGTGTAATTTTAATACCCATTATTATAAAGATGTTTCTATTAAAATAAAAAATGTTTGTCTACATAACCTCTGAAACCGTCTCAGTTACCACTAGTGGTATGTATTTCCCACCTTGGGCAAACCCTGATCTCATGTAATGTTTTGCAGCCACAGAGTAAACTTTGAAAATGTTTAGGGTGAAAGCTAAGAAAGAGGTGAGAACTGAAATATTTGTTGTATAACATTTCTATGAAGTGACAATTCCAATCTGTCTTATCAAAATAATTTCAGATCATGTTAACTCTTTGCTACATATATAAAAGTTTAACAACTACAGATAGATCTGGAGTAATGGAGTGAAAGCTGGGGTATGGATTGGGAAGAGTGGGGAAATACCATTAATAGAGAATTTTATATTAAGAAACAGTAAATTTGTGCTTTCTGCTGCTCTGACTGAAGTGATACTGAATTGCTATAGTTTGTGGGGGGAAATGTATATACACATATTAATATCTGCCAAAGGTGAAGAAACTGAATGGTAAAGGAGTCAACAAGAAAAATACCACTGGTAGCGATAACATACTAGTTGAGGTTTGCAAAAAGTGTGGCAGAGTGGCAAATGTTTTATTATAGATTGCCTTTACAACCTATAAACATATGCACACCTGCCAGCATGACTGACTTAGCGCAGTCTCTTGTCTAATAGTCATTACTTGTTGCTTGATGGTAGTAACAACTAAAATAATTGACCTTCACTACAAACAGTCATATTAAACAGCAATATGTATTTGTAACCTGTGTCTTTTGCATTTGATTCATTTTTTGTAATCCCTATGACTTCTTACATCACAGTAGAGTTCCTATGGTGAAATTCATTGGCATATATCACTTCTTCCTTCCTTCTTTCTTAGTTTTCCCATTCCTTCTCATCCTTTAAATATCTTTTTTCTACTTTTCTTATCTTCCTCCTTTCCCCTATCTTAAGCTGGTAGAAGATGAGGTAAGTGAAGTCAGAGGAAGAAGTCAGCAGATAGGTTTAGATGCATTGAGAAACTATTCTTCCCCTCCTTATAAATTCTGCTTTTTGTTTCATAGCTGTATGCGTGCCTAACATTTAACAATATTTTATTTTATAAAAATTTAAATATAGTGCTGTGGTATCAGAATATGTACTGAGTGTTTTTTATCTTCTGAATGTTAATGATCAGTCTATCTCTGTGATTAATTTTCATAGCGGATGGGAAACGTTTGGCTTCAGTTGGAATAGATGATAGCCACACTATTGTGCTGTGGGACTGGAAAAAAGGAGAGAAACTTTCGATAGCAAGGTAGGGAAAAAACTTGATATCACATTGGCAAAATACTGAAATTACCTTGGACTTAAATTTTTTTTTTACTTATAATGGTTTTGAAATCAAGCAAATGTAACTTTTTAAATTGTTGCCGTCCTTATTACCATTGAATAAATAGTATAATCGTGGTAAAAAGACAAATGATTTCATGATTCATTTGTAGGTTTATCCCTTGTGCACACACTTTTTAATGTAACTGTAATATGATATTCGAAGTAGTGATTATCAAAAATCTCCATTTATAAGTAGAGTGAATTCCACTGTAAGATAAGCTATTCTGTAGTCATTGAAAACATCATAAAATACTCATTTTATATATTTGAGTGAAAGGAGATACGTACACACATGTATCACAAAGAAATTATAGATTATTTTTATTTTCTCTGTTATAGTTTTCATTTTCTAAATTTTCTACAGTGAGCATTATTATTTCTATAATAATAAAAAAATATTAGCAATTGCTTTAAAGGAGGAAGTAGTCAACAGTTTCAGAGACTATTTTTTTGACTTCCTGTTCCCTAAAGTGATACATAAAAGCACTGTAAAATATAGATAAATGCTTTCTTCAGAGTATATAGACAGAACCCAAATAAAATATAGTTTAAGAGGATTTTGTATTTGGAAAGACTATATTAAGCTGTAACAGAGTACTATAAAAATTTTTTTTTCTTTAACTCATTCATGCCACAAATGGCATTCTCTATGTACAGTACTATAGTAGGTGCTATCCAAAAGAAGTTCAGTTCTCACTGTTCCTATCTTTTAAGATTCTGTTGAGAGGAGTTAATAAATTAAAATAATAACAAATGTACAAATGCATGATTACGTAGCCTAAACCTAAGAGACAAGTGGGCCAAGCATTTAGTGATGGAGTAATCAAGATAGGGTTTGGATTAGGCAAAAGGTTATTACAGGAGAGATTTATCTTCAGAGTTAAAACATTTTGGTATTTATTTCAGAGGAAGTAAAGATAAGATTTTTGTTGTAAAGATGAACCCGAACGTGCCTGATAAATTAATTACAGCTGGAATTAAACACATGAAATTTTGGCGTAGAGCAGGTAAGGAAGTGCTTCTTTTTGCTCCTTTGACATTTAAGAAACTATTACTTTTTTTTTTTGACATCTTTATTGGAGTATAATTGCTTTACAATGGTGTGTTAATTTCTGCTATATAACAAAGTGAATCAGCTATACATATACATATATCCCCATATCTCCTCCCTCTTGTGTCTCCCTCCCACCCTCCCTATCCCACCCCTCTAGGTGGTCACAAAGCACCAAGCTGATCTCCCTGTGCTATGCAGCTGCTTCCCACTAGCTATTTTACATTTGGTAGAAACTATTACTTTTAAAAGCGATTTGGTGTTAAGTACAATGTGGTATCCTAAATTGGATCCTGGAACAGAAGTTTCATTAGTTGAAAAATAGGTGAAATCTGAATGAAGTTTGGAGTTCAGTTAATAGTAATATATCAAATATGTCTGTTTTGTAGTTTTGACAAGTAGTCTGTAGTACTGTAAGATGTTAATGTTATGGGAAACTGGGTGGGCGAGCAGTATATGAGAACATTCTGTGTTATCTTTGCATCTTTTATGAATATCTAAAGTTGTGAAAAGTTTATTTTTTTAAAAGAATGATTCACAGTTGTCTTGATACATTTTAAACAAAGTTAAGATTTATTTTATCATTATTTATTGGCTGCATTGATACAGTATTCATATTTGCAAAAGAATTTAACTTATGAGATTAATCAAGTGATGTCCAGACTTCATTCTTCTGTTGAAGACATGTTTTTTAGTCTAAACTAAAAATGAGAAATTGTGTCAAAATTCTTTATGTGCTATAAAATGATATAGAAATGGAATGTTATGTTACTTTAGTCAGTTAGTAAATTAGTGACTGTAGAAGTTCATAGTTTAAAATTAAAAAGTCTCTTTTCCAACTCGAATAGCATACTTATAAATTCCAGCAAGTTGACAAAGTCTTAGTGCACTTAAACCTTTCAGATAAAATACATAGCTATAGAGAGAAGTGAGACATAGGTTAGAAAAGAATAGGCTTAGTGAAGATATTTCCCAAGTTGAATTAGCTTTCAAATTGTAAACTACATAGGACATGAGTCGATTTTCAAACTTGTTTTAATACTTTATCACAGACACATCAGATCATAGTGTATATACATTTACAAAGTAAAAAGAAGTATCTTCACATTTGTAATTTTCATTCCCATTCATTTAAACGAAACTTTTGAGTATCTTAGTCACTTGGACTTGCAAATACCCAGCAAGTAATGCTATTATTGCGGTTTTGAAAAAAGAAAAAAAAACAGCTATAAGTTTGTCGGAAATAAGAGACTTAAAGAAAGTAAATAGCCTTAAAATGAAAAGATTTGCAATTGAATAACTTTTTTCTTTAACTTTGATTTGACATAAAGTAGACTTGAAACTGAACCATAAAAGGATGCATGTTAAGACTGTAGTGCATTTCAGCATTCCTCACTTTGAGGTTCTGATCCAGAGTTCAGTAGTCAACTGGGAAATAAGTAACCACTTTATTAATCTGAATAAATGCCATCTGTCTACCCTCTAAATGCATAGCTTTATGTAAACTAAGTTAAAGATGACTTAGGACTAAGGCTAAAAGGGAGCTTCTTACCTCCTATCCCAGATATAGGCTTTGAGAATTGCAAGTTATGAATTATTAATCTCTAAGGAATTTGAACTCTATTCCATGGCTGGTATGACCTTGTACAATACAAACATGTTATGCTGTGTGTATCAGAAAACTCAATAATGATTATCTAAACCAGAGGTGAAAAACTCTGTAAATGGCCAGATAGTAAATAAATATTTTATACTTTCCAGACACAGAGACAAAATCAAGACTATTATATAGGTACTTAGAGAACAAGAGAGAAAACTCCTGCCTCGCCATACCCAGTTTGCACCCAGTTGCCGTTAACTGGAGACATTCCCTCCAAGATCAGCCTGCTGCAGTGAACGGGACTTGCAGGTTGGACTCGGGGGAGACCATAGTCAGCCTCACTCTGCCCTAGCGGCACACTGATTCTAGTGTGTCTTCTCCTCCTGGAGAGCCCTACCTTCTCGACTTGGCAGATGGCCAGAGGCAAGGCAACTCCTGGACTGTGATTTCACTGCTGGGTGCCCAGCAGTTGCCATAGCAAAGCCCTCAACTTGTGGATGGTGACCAGCTTGGGCCCTAGGCAGCTGCTAGCTGGCAGCCAAAAGTCAGGGAGGCAGGCTCTGGGAGCAGAGAAGAAAACCGACGTAGCCACTGCAGCTGTGCTCCAGTGGGCACTGAAAAAAAAAGGTGATGGCAGGATTTGGCCTACAGCCCATAGTTTGCTGACCCTGCTCTGGATGGATAATCTGTGCTCTAGTGAAACCCAGTCCCCTCCACTTGTGCACTAGATCCCATCTCTCAGCTATTCAAGGGCATCATTCCAACTCTTCTTCCCTTTCTCTCTTGCATTATCAGTTTTCCCTCTCTACCAACTCTTTCC